ACTGGTGCCTATCTGAGGTTGGCTTCCTCTGCTCTGGACAGACGCTTTCAGGGTGGAAACTCTCACCTGCTCAACTTGCTTGCTCTAATTGGTTGCCACTTGCTTTTGACCCTAGGCTTATTAGAGTTCATTAAAACTCTATTAAGATGGCAATCAGCCAACATAAGATTTTATATATGTAGCTTTTTAGAGTCAATGATACTTGAAAAACTCCTATTCACATTCGTTTTGGAAATCTCCTGCCCGGGACAAGGAGTAAAGAACTTTAGCCTGAAGCAAAGGTTCAGATCCAAGTAGGGTGGCATTCAACGGTGAGCCTCGTAAGAGTGGAGGTCAGATTATCGAGCACGTTGTGCACTTAGCTGAGTGTGGACTCAATCTGCAGATAGTGGAGAGCCACCAGTGCTTTCTTTCTTTCTTTTTTTTTTATAAAGATTTTATTTATTTATTTGACAGAGAGAGACACAGTGAGAGAAGGAACACAAGCAGGGAGAGTGGGAGAGGGAGAAGCAGGCTTCCCGCCGAGCAAGGAGCCCGATGTGGGGCTCGATCCCAGGACCCTGGGATCATGAACTGAGCCGAAGGCAGACGCCTAACGACTGAGCCAACCAGGCGCCCCAACCGCCAGTGCTTTCTGAGAAGGGCGGTACATTGATCAGACCTGTGGTTTAGGACAGTAGCTCCCCCATTTACCTAACCATGTTCGAATCCCCTTTGAATCAACTTCGAATCTCACCAAAAGGCAGAATCCCTTGCTTTGCACCCGAGATTCTGATTCAGAAACTTGGCAGTGGGGCCAGGGAATCTGCATCTTTAAAGAAACACATCACAAACACATTGTGAGACCACAAGTCCATGGAGGATGTTTTGAGACGCAGTTTTAGGAAGATGAGCGTGGTGGTCAAGAAAGAGGCTCAGGACGGGAGAATAGTATGGAAACCTAACCTTGAGTGGGAGTGGAAATCGAAACAATGACCCATCCTGCCAGGTTCCTGGGGGCTTGGGGGAGAGCGTGTTTTCAACTCCAGTGGACTCTGGGGAGCCTTGGGAAACTACTGATGCCTGTTAGAGGTCAAGTTCACTCTTGATCCATCCTATTCATCTTGACTAGTCAGTGCTGAGGCTCCTTCCTTTAACTTCCTTCCTACCTGTTCAGGGTTGCAAAGCCTAACTCTGCCTCTTTGATCAAATGCATGGAGTCTTTACCATATAACCCCAAGGACCTTGATGGGCACATGAGCCTGCTCGAACTAGTTTCAGGTACAGAAGGCCTCTCTCGGGCTTGAGACAAAACCACTCTTGCATTTTAGAATTAAGCCACAAAAAGGCTGGTTAGGGTTGGCTCCAGCTGGCTGGTCAGGCCGCATCAAGTTATGGTATAGCCTTCTCTTTGAAGACTTGACCGTTCCCCTCAGGTCCTCTTGAGTCACGTGAAATCCAGGAGAGCATTTTCAAGTCACAAAAACTGTTAAAGTTTTCTTAGGTCCAGTTAGGCATCATTAAATCCTACCCAGATTAGTGAAGTCACAAGATCTCACCAGGCATAATGAGAATAGAATTTATAAAACTTAATGAGAATTGATGAGGATTATTGAACCTTGTCCTGCCCTTAAGGCAACAAGATCAAAATTTAGAAATTCAAATGGGAATAGAAGCGAAGTATTCTTTTGCTTTTCTTTTTTTTTAAAGCTAGGCGAGCTACCTGAAGTTACAAGACTTGCGTGGGCCCTTTGTGACTGCTAATCTTATAAACTAGTATGAGCCAACTTTTAATGGGGTCCTCTCCCTCCTCCCTCCCAGGTGGCATGTATGTATTTTAATAGGGTCTTCTGAACAGGCTGCTTCCACCCCGAGTAGAGACTTGGAGTGTGGAAATGCCAGGTGCCAACCCAGATCCGTGAGACCGGCAGCTAAACTTTTGGGACCCTCTCATATGTCATGCAAATAGGCCCACGCAGTGGCAATGTCGGGTGGACAGGTGGGTGGGAGAAGAAGGTGGCTGGTGAGTGAGTCATCCTTTTGCTCAAGTGCAATAAGGTAGGTCCCAAATCAGCCAGGGACGTCAGATAATGTATTTTCGTTGCTGGAGAGAGTTATCAGTGACTCACTTGGCATTTTGTGGATTAGATCTTTCAGAATACTTCTGTCAGTGGTTGCACTTACTCAAAAGCAAACCTCAGGATAGGGCTTTATATATTTAATGATGTGACTATTGTAATATATATACATATGTATTATAGTTTCAGGGCAGTTTTGAGAAATGAGTCACAATGGGACATCACACTACTTTTTGCTTAGTTTCTTGCCAATATTTTCAATTCTTGATCTCGGAATCAGTGTAGAGCTATTAAAGACATGGGCATTCTCAGACAACTGGCCCTTCATCCTAATGGCAATGATCGTGATCATGATAATACTATCCAACACATGTAAGGCTTATTCTGTGTCAGGCACTGTTCTAAGTGCTTTACAAATATGACCTCGTTGAATGCCGACAACAACCCTCTGAAATGGGAGCTGTTATTTCCTCCACTTCCGGGGTGGGAGGCGGGAACTGAGGCACGGAGGGGTTTGTAACTTCCCCAAGGTTACAGAGCTGGTAAGTGGTGGGGCTGGGATACAGACCCAGCCAGTGTGGACCCAGTCTGGGGGCCTAGGGTTAACCATCCGCTGCCAGTTGTGCAGGGAAAACCATGATACGCCACTGAGCTTTCAAAGGAAAGGGAAATTGAATAATGAGAACGACGTAGTTTCATTTTTGTTGTCAGTATTATGTGTGTGTTGGAGACACACACACAGCTGGGGAGACAGAGGGAGATTAGATCTGAATGGGAATAAGACAAGGAAGTCCGGAAGAAATCACGTAATTATACTAGTTACTTGGAGGGAGAGTTGTATAGGTAATTTCACTTTTTCCTTCACATACGTCTATTGTTTTAGATCGAACACACACACGGAGGAACTAATTAAGCTTTTAACTGAATGCTGCTGTCTCACACAGCACTTGCTGTAGATTCCCGTAATCCTGAGAGAAAAGATCAGTGTTCGCTGTTCTCAGGCTTAATGCAGTGACTTTCATGTAGTAAGTATTCAATAAATGCTGTTTGCAGTGTTGCTTCATTGGGCAGTGTGTCGTTTGTACCATACCCCTGTATTCTCTCCGACGCTGGGCTCATTATAAACTCTGCCAGGATTTCACTCTCCAGGACATTTGGACTGTTCTTCAGCTCAGGGGTTGCCCGATGTTTTCTCTCAAGGGCAAGGAGAGAAGTATTTCAGGCTCTTGGGGTCATCGGCTCTCTGTTGCAATTTCTGCCTCCGTCGTGTGACAGCAGCCAGAGGAGATATGTAAAGAAACGGGCATGACTGAGTTCCAGTAAAATTTGATTTACAAAAGCAGGTGGAGGGCTGCCTTTGGCCGCAGGTTCGCAATGTTCGGATGCCGGCTCTAGCTGGTCAGAACAGGGTCACTGGCCCCGAGAAACAAGTTGATTTACTTTGTTCTCAGGATAGTTTTCTCGTGCAGTTCTGAGGGCTTTGCACATATGCGAAGGTCTGATTGGGATGGATTATAAATCTACTTGAGAATTTTTCACGTGTTGATGTAATTGCTGTCGGGTTGCCTCATTTTTGCCATGTGAGAGATCAGGATGGCCTTATTCCACTATCCCATGGGGTTACTCTTGGAGTCGGCATCCACTGTGTCTTGTTATACTTCGTACACAACACCCGGGTTTTGTTTGTTTACTTAGTTGAATCCCTAGCGAAGATGAGAGAGAAGGAAGTCTTCTTTAGGACAGGGCAGGAGAACTGTGGGTCCCACGCCACCACCCCCGCACCACTGTGTCGCTCTTCTGTGTCTCAGGAGTGGGGAGACTAGGCTTTTTCAGAGCCTCTACTCACTGCCTCCCCCTGCCCCCAAAGATAGCTCCATTCTTCCTTGGTTGTAACTCCTACTGAGAATCCTAAGTCCTTAGGAACTGGGCCAACTAGTCTTTTCTTCAGTACAGTTCCTCTCTGGGCAACCACGATAGTTCATTTCCTACGAAGCCAACCCTGATCTTGTGCCCTGAGCATAGCACAGGGCTCCTACGGCTTACTCCCTTCAGTAAGAGTGCCGGGCTCCCCAAGAGTACCCTTCTCAGGGGCAAAGGGAAACAACTTTTATTTCCTAACTATTTCAAGTTCTTGGCCTCTATGTTCCTGTTCACAATTCCTCCCAAGGAACTTATACAATTAGGACTGTTGGCCACCCAATTCTTGCTCAATAAATGGTTGATGTGCAACATTTTCTTCGTTTGCAGACCACGTAATAATTAAACCCTACAGACTGGTAGCTTTCTTTCCCTCTAATCCATGCAACCAATATCTAAATTCTCTTTAGGAAATGGCAAGGGCAAATCATCCCCATCTATAGTCCTAACCATAGGTTTGTTGGGCAAACTACGTAGCTCACACATAACTAGATCACGGTATGCCCCTGACTTTAAAAGCCAGTATTTAAAAGCTTACCTTTAACCTCTATCCTGTGGACAGAGGGGATAGAGAAGAAACAATGCAAATATCTATTTCAATAACTGTTAAATTAAAACTCACACACATTTCATTTGCATTGAGTAATGGACTGAATGTTTGGGTTCTCCCTACATCCATATGTTGAAACCTTAACCCCAAGGTGATGGCATCTGGAGATGGGGCCTTGGGGAGGTAATTGGGTCAGGAGAGTGGAGCCCTATGAATGGGATCAGTGTCCTTCTAAGAAGAGCAACCCTTGTCTTTCCTTGACAACTTTGTCTTAACCCGAAAGAGGAGGCAGTGTGGGCCCCCAGAAGGAAGCCCCCAAAGCAGAGGCCATTTTAGCCTGGTAGATTAGAAAGGGGTCATCTCATTTCCACACCTGGTGGCCACGAGTTCAAAAGGAAACCCCTTGAGAGAAGAGAACTTGTCTTCGGTGTCATGATGCCTAGCAGCTGCAACGCTTGAAATCACGAAATTACTCAGAGTCTGTAATTTAAACTTTATTTCATATCTGTTGTTAAATTACACAAAATCAGTGAATTGTAAAGCCACACCATTGAACGGATGTTTACAGTTGAAATCATGGGATTTATAGGATGATGACAAAAACGCGTATTTATAACATCCCTTATATACAATAATCAGTATAGACAGAGAAAATGCACATAATCTCTGCAAGCCATGCACACCACAGCAATAACACAAAAGGTTTTCCTTTTTTTCCCCTGTAACAGACATTTCCACTGGCTCGGGCTCCATCCTGCTTTCCAAAGGTACTTATCCGTTTTAAGAGCAAACGTGTCAATTAAAACGAAACAAAACTGAGATACCACAGTGATCTACAGGATCTTTATTTTAAAAACACAATGTACACAAAATAGTTTCACTCTAAAACACGTGGACTTCAAGGTGTGTTTGAGTTTAAAAAAAAAAAAAATTCCTTTCAGTTCTTCAGTTCTCAGATTTCCCAGGACTGCAATACTGTCAGATAAAACACACTTCAGACAATAGTGATACAAGCTCAGCGTCAAGAAAATTTATTTTTAAACCCAAATATGCAGCTTCTTGTCCAGCTTGTGGCCATAAGTATTACAGATGAGACTAGATCATGCAGATAAGCAACGGATTGTACAAGATGTGACTTTATCGTCATACTTCTAAGCATGTTGCTCCTGAAAACATCAATGCTATTTCCAGTTGTCTTGTCGGCTCGACAGCCAGGGGGTTAGCGTAGGTCCCTACAAAGTATAGCAAAACCCATAAAATGGAAACTGCCCAGAATCACGATGCTTGCTAGCACAGCGGGTGCTAGCATCTTTCTTCTCGCCCTGCTCGATTCATAACTGATCGCCTACAAGTGTTTGTGCAGAGACTTAACATGAAATCACTGTCCTCAATGCATATGCTCCTGAGACTCAACCTCACTGCAGAACACTGTTTCTCTTTGTTCTTTCTTCAAACAAAACCGGGTAGAGGGTTAACCCAAAGTATCGAGATATAGCTTTTGGTGTTACCGAATACCGAATAAGCTATCCTAATGCTTATTCTACCATTTTTTTTTTTCATATCGTAATTGTCTACAATCTGTCAACACAAAAAACAAATGGGCTAGAAGCAGCCAGCCCAACTGGAAATGGCACAATAAGAGTGTACAAAAAGTCAATAACAATTCATTCACATTCAGGTTCAATTCTATCTGATCGAGAATAACTTCAGCAATATTTTTAGACACGTTATCCTGTTCAAGAGTTTCTTGATAAGGACCTCACTACACAAACATTGATAAGACAGTTCTATAGAAAGAAAGTCCTGACTTTAATCCAGGATTATATATCACAAGAAACTCAGCAACACACCATTTAGATGATGAAGAAAGATTCTATAAATGGGTTATTTTGGAATGAGCACAACTCGGAGAAGCCTTCAAATGAATGAGAAGCAGCGCCAACAAGATTCCAGAACTGTTGAAATTACAGTGCCCAGAGAGCGTCTGAAAATTAGATCTCTACACTGGTATTTCATTTGGGAGAAAAGTGTTTTTGTTTACTATGAGATACACCCTGTTTAAAACCTTTAAACAGTAGAAGGTAGAAAAAGTTGAAAATTCTAAACATCTCTTAAATAAGATATGAATCCTGTTCTACTTGAAAAGCCAATATTTCTTACATAAAACTGCCCATGTTTGGGAGAGAAAAACCTTCATTTCTACAGTTTGGTAAGATTTACCATCAGTTCTTACTCCATTTAAATAGATTCCTGGTTAAAATCAGAAGAAAATAAAAGGTTTTGTGGTTAATTTTGTTTTTTTAAATGTGTATATTCCTGCTTACCCCTGGGAACAACTGTTTGCTTCCAAGAGCAAGTTTTAACAGTGTATCATGAATAATTTGGAGACGTTTCTTAGCCATAAGTTGAATGGCCACATTTTATGCTTTCATTTTGTCTCTATAGCTAATTTAAGAATTTCTTAAAATATCGAAACAGCAATTTCTGGCAAGTCTGGTTTGGCTTTTGGATTTTATAAATACTCCAACAAACCAAAAAGAGGCAATTTAATTACATGCTGAAAGTTGTTTTACCCACGCACAGTATAACATTTAATTGAAAGGCAACTGTAAAGGCAACATCTTAACTTTTTTTTAACTTCCAAACTTAAGGAAGCAGGATGTGTTTGGAAACTCTCATGTTTTAAGACTTGCCGTATCTCTTCTGGCGCTTTGGGACAAGTGTGCAAAGGCCTCTGGGAGCCACTTAACGCCATTTCTCTACGCTGCCTATGTAATCACTGGTGCCATTGCTGGCGCTGCCATCGCTCTGCTCTTGACCTGGGTTCTGCTTCTGGCTTTCACGGTTCTCCTTCTGGCTCGAATTCTGGGTCAGATTCTGAATCAGATTCTGAGTCACATTCTGATTGGCATTCAGATTTGGGTTCTGACTCGGATTCTGACTCGGATTCTGGCTCTGGCTTTGGCTCTGGCTCTGGCCCTGACTCTGGAAATGGGTCTGAAGGAACCTCCCCTTCAGAAATTTGCGTTGTTCCTGACGCTTCTGCCTAGCTTCCTGATGCTCCTTCTGCCTCATAAACTGGTACCTTTGCAAAAAGAGGTCTTTTGCATAGCTGTACAATTCCATATCCAGAAAATTCAGTCCCTCAATCCGCTTTTGGATTTCCTCATTGATCTCTACGCTAGAGGCCCTAGTGGTATTGTATTGGGTAAATGGCGAAATAAAGTTCATGTTGAAGGTTTTCTCAAACAGGTACTGGGTCTTCCGCTGAAACTCAGTGAGGCCGAAGAATGCCATGTGCTTCAGATTCGATTTGGCACTTTCCAGGAGGACCTTGTTTCTTTGCTTTTCAGGCATGACGGAGAGGTTGTAGCAGCCGACCAGGGTCAGGTCGGAGAGCATGCGCACCTGGCGGTTATTGGCTAGATTATAGGGACAGTCCATGAACTCTTTTAGGGGGCAGCCAGACCAGTCATCCCCAGTGTAGCAGCTGGGCAGCTCTTCGGAGGTTGGGGGCCTTCCGTCACAGACGTGCAGGGATGCTTTCCATGTTGCCCCTCTCTGGACGTGCCTCCACTCACTCAAGTACCGGGACACTGGGTCTCGGAGGATGGTGATGTAGTGGAAGTTCCTATGGGCAAAGCACAAAGACCAACAGTCAGCGCTGTGGTGACATGAGTGCAGTCAGCAAGGTGCATGGCGTATGTGATGTTCACTGATCAGTAAGGAGGGCAAAGGGGGAATGATGGTGATCTGGTAGCATTTGTCCTGTGAACTGCGTTGTAGACCGCTGTCCGAGTCCTACGAGCCCATCTGGGAAGCTAACACTTTCCCCCAATTTGCTGGTACTGCAGCGAACGAAAGTAGGCCAAGTGTAGGCCCCGCACATCGTCCTTGTCATTCTTCACTTCCTCTTCCCGCTCCTCCTGTTTCTCTTTCTCCAGCCAATGACAAAACCCTCCCGACGACCTCATGTGCTTAAGCAGGCAGCCATGTTATTTCATATCCCCCATAATTATTTCATATCCCCATTAACTGATCACAAAATTCTAACCTTTCTTACTAAATATACGAAAGCATTTTCCCAATATCCAGCCTAATCAGGATACCTTATTAAAAAATAAAACCTCATTGAAAGAGTGTCGATATGATGCTTTGATTCTGGCTGTTGTCCTAACATCATGGCTCATTGGTTCTGGAAGCGGCGGGCAGAGATCGGCAGAGCAGCCCGGGGCCTCCAGAAATAAACACTGTGGTTAGTCACCGACTGAAATAGACATGGTAACTGCCGATGGCACATATGCAGGCTACCACCTCGGTTTCAGCCTTAGCTCGCGTGATATTCCCGGCCCAGCAGCAAAGTTAACTCTGTCAGCTCCAAAATGCTCCCTTTCTTTACCTAAAGGTAAAGAAAGGATACCCGGGTGTCAACAAGTGTGAAGGTTCTGCCATACGGCTATCCTCACTTTAAAGCCTCAAACTGAAAAAGTTCTTTGTTTCAATAGTGGACTAACGAACGCTGAACCCATACGTGCACGCACGCACAGCAGGTGAACACGCACGCACCGCACCCCAGAAATGTCAAAGCCTAAGATGTGATCAGACATACTCAAGGGGAGAAACGACCCCGGGGTTGTGCTTTTTAATTAAGAAAAGATTTTTCCCCCCCACTGAGATTCAGTAGATGAAGGCTGAGGTCAAGGAAGGGCATATTGTAGAAGGAAAACAATAATGAACACTATTAGCATTTCGTTTCTTACAGAAAACCTCAGGAATGGCTGGCGGCTTTTGTGAAATCTATTCATTCCCATCTGAGAGAGTGGTGGTTCTGTACGCTTGCCAAAGGGAACCAACTCAACCACGGACGGGCTGGGTCTGTTGGCGGCAACGTTTCAGACCCAACCACCGACAGGCTGAGTCTGAAACGTGGTAACGTTTCGGGCTTCGAGCAACTCAGGCACCCCGGGGTCTATCCTGTATGCCTCTGTTCTCTGCATGGTGTTTCTTCGGCTGGGCATGACCTTCCTTCTGTGACTGGAAAATTCGAAACCTCCTTCAAGTTGTAGTCCAAGTACAATCTCTCCTCTGAGAAAACGTAACCCCACCGCCTGCTGTCAGCCCTCCCCTCTTCCTCTGTGGCACCACAGTACGTCCACAGTTACTTAGCCTTTGTGAAAACCCTTTTGATACTGAACTGTGACTGCTTGTTTGTATTTCTGCTTAAATGATGTTTTCCTGGACAGGGACTCTGAGCTCTTCTTCTAGAACTTCTAGGGAAGAGGAGGGAGAGAGCTGGGGACCGGGAAGGCCATGCCCCATCCTACAAAAACTCTGGAGAATCTTCTAAGTGCCTTGCAAATATCACAGAAAGTTTTTTCTTTAAATTACTTTATATATTTTTTCCGGACTAAACAAGGATGGGGCACAGGAGGCGCCTCTGGGAGTGAGGATGGAGAGGGCAGAGCACCTACCTCACTGCTTTTCCTAGGACCTGACCTTGCTAGGGCCACGAAAACTCATGTCTGCGAAGACCCCTTGCTTAAGGGCTGGCAGCTTCTGGTGCCCGGTAGCCTTTACCAACAAAGGTGACTACTATTCCCACGGGCTTCCTCCTTCCGCCCCTTGCTGTGGTATTCATTCACTCCTTCGTTCAGCACATTTTTATCGAGCCTTTATGCGAGGCCGGAGGCGATAGCTTAGTGGCAATTAGTCTGATTATTTGGAAAAAAAAAGAAATTTATGAAGTCCAGTGACACATTTGGATTAACCTTTCAACCAGCTTTAGCAGGCATGCATTATAATGGGGGCTGTCGGGTAGTTGAAACCCCCATAATAAAGTCACCTTCATGCTTAGCTGACAGTCCTCCTGCCCCGCCTTGTCGAACTGGCTTAAGCCGACAGTGACATCTTCTGGTAAATCCCAGAGTGCAGCCCTGTGCCAGTCGGAGGCTCTCCTTCCTCAACACGCTCCCTTGTCTTTGGGAACAGATAGATCTCCACCACCAGGGTGAATGTCATGACCAATGTTTTGGAAGCACCATCCTCACGTGGAAAGAGAGGAGGCATCCCCGGGAGGCAGAGACAGACGCTGCAGGGATGGTCACGGCCACAGAGACATGAGAGGCGCCCACATGCGCACATGCGCACACCCTGCCTGCCCTGGTGACCGCAGCTGTCCTACCCTCTGAAGATAACAGGTCCGGGGATTGCCCACAGCCCACGTCTTCCAGGGAAGACAGGCCTGGGCTCCCAGGTTGCCTCAACGGGAAACACTCGATGCTGCTGGAAAGAACGATCCCGGCGGTGGAAAGGCTTAAAGGTCGGTGTCCGGGAGTGTCCAGTGGCCTCCTGGGTACCATAGTGTGCTGGAGGTGGGGAGGCAGGTGAGGATAACATGTGGGAGGTTTGGTTGGCCAAAGGATCCAGGAGGCTCGTTACTCTGAGGAGAGTTGTTAGGCAACCGTCAGAGAAGCAGTCTCCCCAGCCAGGCCACCTGAAGATGTGACAGCCCAGCCCGACGGGAACGTGCAGGGGGTGGCGCTCCTCCCGTGGCCAGTTCAGTGCAAGCACCTCACGTGTGCCTGGCACGGGGTGCCTGCAGCGCCAAGACATGGCGTTTCGATAGAAGGTGTCCTTTTTTTTAAAGATTATTTATTTATTTGACAGAGAGAGAGAGAGAGAGAGAGAGCACAAGCAGGGGAAGCAGAAGGCAGGGGGCAGAGGGAGAAGCAGACTCCCTGTTGAGCAGGGAGCCTGATTCGGGGCTCGATCCCAGGACCCTGGGATCATGACCCGAACCGAAGGCAGGCGCTTAACCCACTGAGCCACCCAGGCGCCCCAACAGAATGTGTTCCTAATGGTTGGAGCAAGCACAAGGTATGATGAAAGCACCTTGCTAGCCTAACAATATGGGCAACAGCTTCTGCCGCTTTATTTTGAAAACAAATAAGAATGGGAGGAGGCAGGAAGAGAGGAATGGAGCATGAGGCAGAAAGATGAGCATGAGCAAAGTCACAGGATACGAACTAGACTGTTGTGTGTGGAAGAAGTGCACTGAAAACCTCTTCCGGGGGCGGGGGGTATGTGCCTGGGTGGCTCAGTCGGTTAAGCATCTGCCTTCGGCTCAGGTCATGATCCCAGGGTCCTGGGATCGAGCCCCTGCTCAGCGGGGAGCCTGCTTACCCCTCTCCCTCTGCCTGCCGCTCCCCCTGCTTGTGCTCTCTCTCTCTCTCTCTCTGATAAATAAATAAATAAATAAATAAAATCCTTAAAAAAAAGAAAAGAAAAGAAAACCTCTTACTGGGAATGAAGGGGAGTGGCAGGGGTTGTGGATGGAGGGGTAGCTACAGACCTGGCTGTGGAAGGCCTTAGGACCCCCCAAGAAAGGGTTTAGACTTCTGTAGCTGACAGGGAGGCCTCTGAAGGGGTTTCAGCAGGGGAGCAACATGATGAACTCGGTGTTTTAGCAAGCTCACAGGGTATGGGGTGCGGAGATGGAATTAGGGAAATTCGCCTAAGGTTACTGCAGAAAACAAGGCAAAAGAAGGAGGGAAGCCTAGAGACAGTTTTAGGAGGCAGCATTAACAGACTTGGTGTCAAAATGAACACAGAGGAGAGGAAGGAGGAGGGTTAAGGATGCCTCCAGTTTCTGGAGGAAGGCCTCGGGTCCGCTGGGACACCCAAAAGAGAGTTGAATGGACAGATACAGCACTCAGGGGGGTGATCTGGCCTTAAGATAAAGATGTGGCGTTAACAGCAAAAAGTAGTCGTTTCAAACCATGACAGCCTATTTGCAGATGGAAGTTTAATTCCACACGTGTGGCTTCAGTGCTTTGAAGACCGACTTTAAGTACCCTGGGGTAGCCCAAGGTTTCCTTTCTTAATGCTAAATATGGTTTTCAACTATTCTGGACACTGCCTCAAGTTCCCTCACTGTCCTCTTGTTGCCCCTGAATATATTCCACTTTACTGGAACGTGTCCTCCGGGCACAGTCTGACAAGTGACAAGTAGGGACAGTCTGTCACCTCCCTCATTCTCGACACCATTGCTCAGTGTGGCCTCGTATATCACATTGGCCTTTTTGGCAGACATGCCACACCACTGACGCACAGTCAACTAAACTCTTTCATTCTTTTACACATACACCATTTTTGAAACCCAATCTACTTTATCCTGGACCTGGATGTAGTTTACTTGTGGCCCTGTTTAATTTCTTCTTGTTAGAGTAAGTCTGAGCCTGTCAAAACACATCTGGATTCTGATTATATACCCTAGTATCTTCACCATATCTCCTTATTCCTTTTGGCAATGCTTGTATCCAGGCATTGATAAAACAGAACAAGATGCAGGCAAGAGCTGCTGGAAATCTACCTTCAGGTGGACATTACTCCGAAGGGTGCTGCTGAACGGATTGATTTAATTTTAAATGAGTGAGCCATTTAAAATGGCTCAGCCCCAGGAAAAACACACTCAGCCTGTTTTGGTTAGTGGTAATGGGACAGGAATATCTTAGGACAAAACTCGTCACTTAATTAAGATGAACAGGTGTCACATCTTTAAAATGGAGTCATGACTCCCCATCAGTTACCTAGGTGAATTTAATGACCATTGTTCAGTGTGTCCGTATACCC